GAAGGCCAGCAGGAAGACAAGATGGCCGCTGTAATGACGTAAGCAGGTAGTGCCTAGTGAAAAGGTCGTCAGACTGATGAGAATGTGATGTGTTTATGGTCCAGACTGTGTGGAGCTCAGGCCTTGTGCAGGTCACTGCTACTGTTGAGACTCTAGTTAGTATGAAAAGTGTCTCTGCTTCAATGGTACAGACACATGAACTGACCATGGAGACCTCAGTAGTTTCTCTGGAATCCACCGTCTTCAGTCCTTCATACACCGTCCTTGAGTTTGTTTAATATATGCATTTCAAATATATTATGATTATTGTAACACTCAAGGTACTATAAATAGTTACCTCATCATCTTTTTACATTTTTGATCTTATAGCTCTTATTGCTGAGTCGGCCTGTTTTCTATTCCAACACATCGTATTGTTCCGTCGACTCTTTGTTAACCTACATGTAACTAATAACACTAATAATAAAAGTGAATGATGAACAGATATCATATGTTCTATGTTGGCAATTACACTGAACATGTACACTGCTGCCATGATACATCATATCTGTTTTTAACATCGGTCACTGTCAATATAAATCCTACAAACACATAAATACAGTAAATAACCATCTTTACATGAACAAACGATTCATAATCATCGATTCCATGTCTATCCATTCACTATTTATTTCTTCTGTTGACAACTTACAGAACATGTGACTTATAGACCTTTCACTTTTATTTAAATTTAATATTTATGTATATATATATACACTCACCAGCCACTTTATTAGGTACATCTTGCTAGTACTGGGTTGGACCCTCTTTTGCCTTCAGAACTGCCTTAATTCTTCGTAGCATAGATTCCACAAGGTGTTGGAAACATTCCTCACACATTTTGCTCCATATTGACATGATAGCATCACGCAGTTGCTGCAGATTTGTCGGCTGCACATCCATGAAGCCAATCTCCCGTTTCACCACATCCCAAAGCTGCTCTGATGCAGTGGTTCTCAACCTTTTTTCAGTGGTGTACCCTCTGTGAAATATTTTTTCAGCCAAGTACCCCGTAACCAGCGCAAAGCATTTTTGGTTGAAAAAAACATCATCAGTGTCTGATTTATTAAACTGTCAACACTGAAGATTGCTTTGTTTAGGATAATGAAATTGAACAGCCTACTGAATATAAAATTCAGTTTATAAACTTACACTTGTATTTTATTGAATATTTATTAAATAACTATTTTTCAAGGATTTTTGAATAGATGCTAATTTTAAATATATATTTTTTAAATCTCACGCACCCCCAGGGGTACACGTACCCCCATTTGAGAACCACTGCTCTGTTGGCTTGAGATGTGGTGACTGTGGAGGCCGTTGGAGTACAGTGAACTTATTGTCATGTTCAAGAAAGCAGTTTGAGATGATTTGAGCTTTGTGACATGGTGCATTATCCTGCTGGAGGTAGCATCAGAAGATGGTCCACTGTGATCATAAAGGGATGGACATGGTCAGCAACAACACTCAGGTAGGCCGTGGCGTTTAAACCATGCTCAGTTGGTACTAAGGGGCCCAAAGTGTGCCAAGAAAATATCCCCCCCACCAGTACACCACCAGTCTGAACCGTTGATACAAGGCAGGATGGATCCATGCTTTCATGTTGTTTACGACACATTGTGACCCTACATCTGAATGTGGCAGCTGAAATCGAGACTCATCAGACCAGGCAATGTTTTTCAATCTTCTGTTGTCACATGTTGGTGAACCTGTGAGCCTGTAGCCTCAGTTTCCTGTTGTTAGCTGACAGGAGTGGCCCCCGGTGTGGTCTTCTGCTGCTTTAGCCCGGTTGCTTCAAGGTTCCACGTGTTGTGCGTTCAGAGATGTGTTCTGCAGACCTTGGTTGTAACGAGTGGTTATTTGAGTTACTGTTGCCTTTCTATCATCTCCAACCACTCTGCCCATTCTCCTCTGACCTCTGACACCAACGAGGCATCTTGGTCCACACACCTGCCGCTCACTGGATATCTTCTCTTTTTAGGACCATTCTCTGTAAACCCTAGAGATGGTTGTGCGTGAAAATCCCAGTAGATCAGCAGTTTGAAATACTCAGACCAGCCCGTCTGGCACCAACAACCATGCCACGTTCAAAGTCACTTAAATCCCCTTTCTTCCTCATTCTGATGCTTGCTTTGAACTTCAGCAAGTCGTCTTCATCACGTCTAGAGGCCTAAATGCATTGAGCTGCTGCCGTGTGATTGGCTGATTCGCTATTTGTGTTAACAAGCAATTGAACAGGTGTGCCTAATAAAGTGGCCGGTGAGTGTACACTCCCTTTTTGGGCGTTTTCTTGTTCTTGCCTCTCCTGTCCACCTGTTGTCACCTTCATTTGCACTAAAAGCAGGTGAAGTTGATTCACAATCACTTGCACCACATTTGGTGCTCTAGTGAGCAAATGAGTGTGTGATTTATCAGAATAAACTGTGATGATGGTGATGAAGGGTCATGAGGCTCGTGTTCACCTCCTCTGGTGGTCAGTCGATTGTATCATCAGCACTAAGGAATCTGTGTTTTCATCACATGTTGACAGCTGAATCCATGCAGAGCTTCTTCATTTTCTCTCTGTGTGTTCTGAATCTTTCATCAACTCGGCGCCTACAAACAACATGAAAGTAGTGAAAGCTGAGCGTTGGACCGGAGTGCTGGATGCAGTTTGTTTTGAAGTGCTGAACCGTAGCCGACGGCACGAGTGCTGAAATGTTTCGCTTTCATTTTAATGATGCTTAAGTAAAGTCTTCCACAGTGGGCGCTGCAGCCAGAGAGGGTTTTACATCTCCTTTGAAATCAGATGCAAGTATATATTTAATTTTGCTGCTGGATGGCTGCAGGCACACGCAGACACAGAGATTAATTGGCACAGCTTTATGTGCCCTGATAATGTTGCTGCACCTTCGTTTTCTGCAGAGTGAAAGATTTGACTGAGAGGAACTTTGTTGAAAAGACGGAGCTCCTCTTACCTGGAAGTTT